GCGTCGTTCGTTAGCTGCTGCGGAGATGAGACGAGGCGGCGCTCGCACCTCTCGCCCACGCAGCCCCGCGCAGCTGCAGCCAGGGAAATTCCGGGCGCCAAGGCCGCCCCCGGGCCCTGCCATGGGAGGGGGTACCACGGCCTCCGGGACCCGGTCTGACCTCCCTGCCACCACCTGGGCATGGGAGAGATGGACCTATGCCGTGGCCCTGGTGCTGGGGACACAGGTCACAGCCTGGCCCTTTGGTGGCACAAACCTGGCGGGTCTCAGTCCAGGTGCCAGCAGGGCCTGAGCCCCCACCCCTTCTCACAACTGCCCCTCCTGCCACGGGGGGCCACATGGGGGCAGGGGGGAAGGAGGCGCCACAGGGCCCATGGCGTTCGCAGCCCCCAGCTCTGCTCTCTTGCCGCCCGCGTGCGGAGCCGCCCTGGCCTGCCGGGGCCTGCGCGGGGGCCCAGCTGCGCCAGCCTGACTCTGAGCTGCCGAGGTGTGCCAGCAGGCAGTGCCGGAGAATGCACACTCACGTGGGCGTGCACACGCGGATCCAGGCGTGGCGCACACACTAATCCAGGTGTGGCGCACACATGCTCACACCATACGCTGATCCAGGCATGGCGCACACAGGCATGCACACGCTAATCCATGTGTGGCACACACATACACACATACGCATGTGCATGCTAATCCAGATGTGGTGTGCACAGGCTTACACATACACACATACGCAGACCCAGGCGTGGTGCACATGCTCACACATGCATGCACATGCTGATCCAGGTGTGGTGCACATTTGCTTAGAGGCACGTACACACTATAATTCATGTGTGGTGCACACACGCTCACACAGGCATGCACATGCAGACCCAGGCATGGTGCACACTCTCACACTTGCATGCATATGCTGATCCAGGCATGGCTCATACATGCTCACACTTTCATGCACACGCAGACCCAGGAGTGGCATACACAGGCATCCACATGCTGATCCAGGTGTGGTGCACACACTCACACTTGCATGCACACACAGACCCAGGTGTGGTGTACATGCTCACACACACAGACGCAGGCATGGCTCACACACACTCACACAGGCATGCACACACAGACCCAGGCATGGCACTCACACACTCACACAGACATGCACGTACAGACCCAGGCATGGCTCACATGCTGACAAGTGCATGCACAGGCACACACCAGGTGTGGTGCACATGCTCACACACACACACCACACACGCAGACCCAAGCATGGCTCACACGCTCGCAAGTGCATGCACGTGCAGACCCAGGCATGGCTCACATGCTCACAAGTGCATGCACAGGCAGACCCAGGCATGATGCACACGCTCACACTTGCATGCACTCGCAGACCCAGGCATGGCCCACACACGCTCACACATGCATGCACACACAGACCCAGGTGTGGTGCACACGCTCACACAGTCACACACAGGCAGACCCAGGGAGGCCCGTGCCCGGTAGGAGCCCCGGGGGTGGCCCCGGGGGGCACAGCCGAGCTGCCCCAGAGCTGCTGGAGGGGCCGGGGCAGCGGAGGGTGAATCCCGAGGTGCCTCGAGTTTGCCCCGCAGGGCAGGGGCAGGACCGGGCGGGCGCAGGGAGCTGCCCAGGGGCACCCAGGCGCCCGCCTCGACAGCCGGGTGGGGGCCAAGCTCAAAGGAGGCTGCTAGAGGCGAACCTGGACCCTGGGGCACCATGGAGGAGGCCTGTGTGCTCAGCAGGTTGCCTTTGTGCCTCAGTTTCCCCATGGCAGAGCGGTCCAGGGCAGTGTCTGGGAAGGGGGGAGCTGCCGCGGGTGCCTGGCAGGTGCTCCACTTTGCCTCCATATTTGCGTAAGCAAATCCCCATGGCCCTGCCCGACCCAGTCTAGACCCTGTTGGCTGCTGGCACGGATGCAGAGCTGGGGGCAAAGTTCAGGCCCCGCCCCACGGCTGCAGCTGGGCCATGCCCAATGCAGGAGGCAGCAAGCAGGGGGGGTCCCCAAAGGCCCCCCCCGTGCCCGGCATGTTGTTCTCCGGCACCGTCTGTTCTCTGGGCCGTGATTCAAGCAGCCCCGGGTGCTGCCCGCCCACCCCTTCCTGCTGGGGGGGAGGGGGGGGCCGAGCCTGTGGTGCCCGCACGTGAGGCCCTGGGGCTATGTGGAGCCGGAGGGGCCTGGCATGGCCCCGCCCTGCACACGCGTGTGCACTCCAGCAGGCGCCTGTGGGAGTGGCGCATGTGCCGGGGGCTGGCGGTGGTGCAGGGGTTGGAGGAGGCTGTCTGGGCCGGGCAGGGCAGGGGTGCGGCCTCTGGGCAAGGATGATTCACTTGTGTGTGTGCGATGCACCATATCCTCTTGTGCACGCCTCTAGGCAGGAGGAAGGGGACTGCGGGTCAGGAGTGAGGGTCACCAATGGCAGGGGAGCAAGGGGCTGCCTGCAGGGCTGTGGGGGGCAGGGAGCTGTGGGTCAGGAGTGAGGGGCAACAGCAGAGCTGGGGGGCAAGGGGCTGTGGGCCAGGAGTGAGGAGCATGGGTGGGGGAGCAGGGGGCTACAGGTTGATGTTTTGCGGCACTGGCAGGACAGGGGGCTTTGCGTTGGGACTGAGGAGCACCAGCAGGGCAAGTGGGGCAGGGGACTGCAGGTTGGGAGTGAAGGGCACCGGCAGGGCTGGTGGGGGTGGGGTTTAGGGGGCTGCGGGTTGAGAATGAGGGGCACTGGCAGGGCAAGGAGGGCAGGGGGCTGCAGATTGGGAGTGAGGAGTACCAGCAGGGCTGAGGGGGCTGGGGGTTGAGAATGAGGGGCACGGCAGGGCAAGGAGGGCAGGGGGCTGCCAGTTGGGAGTGATGGGCACAGGGTGGAGGCATTGCCATGCGCTGCGGGACTGGGAGGCGTCGGTGCCATTAGCACCGCAGATGCGTTTCTTCCCCCCCACCAGGACACAGCACTTAGCGCCGAGGGCGCCGCGGCCCCCATTAGCCTGAATAAATGATGCGCTAATGGGGGAGCCGAGGCCCGTGGCCGCCACACGTGCCGGCGGGGAGGGGGGTCATCGCTGTCCTGGCAGGGAAACTGAGGCAGGGGTCAAGGACTCAGGAACCCCCTGGGCCCCGGAGCTGGGGGTAGAACCCAGGCATCTGGCCCCAAGCACCAGGCAGCTCTGGAGCCTCATGGCCCATGGCCAAAACCCCCTCCCCCCACCCCATGCACACGCGTGTCCATGACTCAGACAACACGCCAGCCCCCCATTGGCACGCATCGCCCGTCAACAGTGCTGGAGCCGCACCCCCCTCCCGCCTGCGGGGGATAGAGCCCCGGCGCCAGCACTGCCCAGTGCCCACTGCCGTGTGTCTGCCTGAGCAGCCATGGGCTCACGGTGCAGCAAGCCGTGCGTTGGCATAGCTGGGGGGCGCCGGCCCAGCCCGCGTGGTACTCAGGGGTCCCCCGGGCACGGAGCCAGCTGGGGGGTAGGGGTAGCTGGCATGGCTCCCGTGGGCAGAGGGAGTTGATTGGCTGGCAGAGCCCCCCTCCTGAGCCCAGGCTGGTCTCATGGGGGGGTCCCAAGGGGAGGGTGCAGCTGGCGCCGTCTCTGGCGGCTCAGCCTGGAATGTGTCGGCTCAGCAGATCCCGGGGGGCACGGCTGGGGGCGCCCCCCCTCACTGCTCTCATGGCCCCCCTTTGCTTCTGCAGCCTCGGCCCGCCGGCGCCCAGGCACCATGTCGGAGGGCAGGGACTGGGCCACGCTGAGCCCCGAGGAGTTTGCCCAGCTCCAGCAGTTCATCGACTGTGAGTACCGCGGCCCCGGGGGCTCACCCCAGGTTTGTGGGGGCAGGGCAGGGAGCCCCCCTGACAAAGGGCTGTTCCCTGGGGGGGAACGAGGGGCACAGTCTTGGCATCCCTGGGTGGGCGTCAGCATTGGGTCTCGCTGGGGGGGGTCCCCCCAGCCCATCACCCCCCCAGACAGCGGCAGGAAGGTCCAGGACGTGCTGCGGGAGCTCCATGGCGATGGCACCGTGGCCCAGCACCTGCAGGGAGATGTGAGTGTCGATTCCCGCCCCCCCCAGCTCATCCCCTGCCCCAGGGGCTGCAACCCCTGACTCCCTTTGCCCCCCCAGTGCATCGACTTTGAGGGCTTCAGGCTCTTCCTACAGAGCTACCTGGACACTGAGGTGCTGTCGGATGACCTCTGCCGCCGCCTCTTCATGTCCTTCCAGACCACGGGCGGCGCCGCAGACCCCACGGGTGAGGCGTGGGCTGTGGGGAACTCTCCCTGACCTGGTGGGGGCTCAGACACGCAGTAGGGCTGGGCAGGGGGCGCTGGCCGGGTGGGCTCAGCACCACCTCCGTCCTGCAGCCACTGGCCTGGTCTGTGTCAATGACGTCTCCTGCTACTTCTCGCTGCTGGAGGGCGGCCGGCCCGAGGACAAGCTGGAGTGTGAGTGGGGGCGGTGGGGAGGGTCCTCTGCGCCTGGGGGACCCCCAGGGGCAGGGAGCTGGGGGGAGCCCCCCACAGAGGCTCACTGGGCTCTTTCCCCCCTCCCCCAGTTACCTTTAAGCTGTATGACAAGGACGGGAACGGCCTGCTGGACAGCTCGGTGAGTAGTGGGGGCAGGCCTTGACCCCTGACCTCTCACCGCTGACTCCCAATCCCACTTTAGTGGGGAGAGGGTCCCAGCCAGTGCTGACCACAGGCCCCCTCAGGAGGTTGACCGGATCATCACCCAGATGATGCGCGTAGCTGAGTACCTGGACTGGGACGTCACGGAACTGAAGCCGGTGAGCCCTGGGTGGGCGACAAGGGAGTGGCGGGGGGGGGGGGGGGGGGGGGGGCGGGGCGCGGGGGGGGCG